TGTGTCCGCCCAGGGCTCAGGGTGTCCAGACTCAGTCCAGACATCTGTAGCCATTGGGGTGTCTCCAAATTGTTTCCAACCATGTGTGTCCTGCAGTGCGCTTTCCCGTTTCGGCCAACCTTGTACGGCCACAGTTGTAACCTCAAAGTGTGCGCAGCCGCCCGTGCCCCACAGCATGTCTCCAAGCCTAACACACCCTTTTGTGGTCGGCGTTATGTCCCCAGCCCTGGCTCACACCTCTATGGCCAACAGGGCTTCTCCAAGCCACCATCAGCCAACCCCAGCTGGCAGTGTGTTCCCTGGAGAGCTCCAGATGCCTCTGTCCAACAGCGCTCCCCCCAGCCTGAGCTCACCCTTTCTGGCTCCCAGGGAACGCTCTAATCTGCCCAGTCCATCTGTGGCCACCCCGGGAAGCATGAGCCTGCTGCCGCCCACTGTGGTGTGTGGGGTGGGTCGTGGGATCAGCAAGCCAGCCGTGGGCCCATGTCAGCTCGCACAGGGCCAGACCCCTTTGCTCAACCTAGGGGGTTCGTACTCCCGTGTGATGAGCACATTAAGCCAGCCATGCCTGGGACCCTGCCACAGCCCCGGGGACAACCTCCTGATAGGGGCTGCGAGCCAGTCCAGCCCCCAGGATTGCACCGTCCACTCTGAGATGACCCAGGCCAGCAAGGGGCCCTCAGGCCTTGTGGCTCCTGAAAAGGATAGTGGCCTGGCTTTAAGGGCCAGTGTTCCATGTCAGGCTTGGTTCAGGGGCATAGCCCCAGGGATGCCCCAAGGGCCTGTGGCCACAGGACTGTTCCTAAGTATGTGTCAGGGGGCCAGCCCACCCCCAGTGACTGCCTGGGCTTTGCCGGCAGATGTCCACTGGACTCAAGGGAAGGCTGCCATGGCCAGAGGTGTTGGTCAGGGCCCATGCCTGGCTGCGATGCCCAGTATCCAGATCCCATCTGAGTTTTTCTCAAACCAGCTGGGTGCCAGCCTCTCCCAGACCTGTGCCCCTCTTCCTGTGACGTTAGACCCCCAGCTCCGCTCTGTGGCCACCATGGTTCCACCCAGTTGCCGATATGCAGGCATGATCATTCCAGATGCGCCAGCGGGTGCTGTGGCTGGAGGTTTGGCCCAAAGTTCTATAGATGGAAAGGTACCCTTGGCACTGGCCCCCAAAGCTGTGGTTGAAAGTGAGACACTCAGTCTTCCTCAAGGGTCTGTGATCAGGGGCGTAGGCAAGAGTGTTCCCCTGAGGCCCACCGGAGCTGTCGTGACCCAGAATCTACCTCCAGAATCAGTGGTTAGCAGGGAGGCTCAACACTCCTGCCGAGGCCCTGTAGCTGGTGACGTGGCCCTCAGCCTCCCTCCAGGTTCCACGGCTAGTGGTCAGGCCCTCAGTTACACTCGAGAGACTGACAAGGAAAAGCCGAGCCCAGCTGTAGAACCCTCACCACGTTCCCACTCTCCAGGCCTCAGCCCGAGCTCTGTGACTGGAGCTTCCGGCACGCCCCTCTGTTCTATGGCAGGTGGCGTGACTCCAGGGTCCATGCTGGTCGGGATCAGTCCCCGCCCCTACCAGGCACAGTCTCGGGAGGGCTCTCGAGTCCCTTTCTTGGCATTCCATGTCACCAGCCTGGATGTGTCGCCAGCAGCGCAGAAAGTAGCTCAAGACCTGCAACACTCACCCACAGTGTTGTCAAGTGCCCCACAGGCAGACCCTGGGCTGAAAAAGCCTGTGGGTGTTGATAAGGTGACCCTGCTGAAGCCAGGACAAGTAGATGGCACAGTGCCTGGTGTAGACTCCGTCAGACCTGAGGGCGTTGAGGTCATTCCATGGAAAGGCCTAGGCGCCATGGGAGGTGAGGGTCCTGGGTGTGAGCCCCTGGCAGCTGAACATATTCTCAAAGACAGACTATTCTCAAAGGCCCAGTTAGAGGAGGAGGCTCCCAGCCGAGTCAGCAGCGTGACCCCCGCTCCTGAACAGGCGCCAAGTTCAGGTGGGCCCCCCAAAGCCAGGTGTGTCACCCCTCTTCAGCCCTTTTCCTCGGAAGGCGGCAGCAGTCCCCGAAGCCTCTGCCCTGCCCCCAGAGCCCCCTGCCTGCAGGAGGGTGACACTTCAAGCCAACCTCTGCCTTCCAGTGCCTCGGTGGCACCACAGGCGAGTCCTGGCAGTTCTGGGACAACCGAGCTGCCTCTGGGGTCAGAGGCCAGGCCAGGAGACCCCTGGAGTCTCCAGAGCTCAGCTGAGACTGACTCAGCACCCCCACCTAAAAACAGGGCTTCCAGTGCCTGCCAGACGGGAGCACCTCAGACCCACACCGGGAGGAAGCACCAAGAGCCCCTCACTGCTAAAAAGCCCTCCAGGTCCACTCAAGGCAGCCTTGTCTCAGAACTTCTAGAAGGTCCCATAAACAGATTGCTCCCCTCTGTCCGTCCACAGAGGAGGCAGCCCTCGGGGACACCCATCATCCATGTGGGGGACGGGAAGGGGTGTAAGGTACCCTCCGGAGTCCGACAGGTGTGCCTGGGCTGTGAGCCATCAAATGGCTCCCTTCTTGATGAGGGACACACCGACCAGCCAACAACGGAGCTGTCCTCCACCCCTCCTGGGGGCCAGAGGACCCCTTCTGTCACATCCCCTGGAGTTAGCTGTGATGGTGGCTCCCCGGTCCCTACCACACCCCGTGGCCAAAATGTTGAGAATGTCACCAGCCCTGCCACTGCCTATGATGGGGGCTCCCGAATCCCCACTCCTCCTCACAGCCGCAAACAACATGACACAGTCCCTAAAACTAATTTCGATGAGGGTTCCCAGAGAGTCCCCGCCATGCGCTATGGCTGCAGAGTGCAGCAAGAGCCTGAGACGAGCCTTGGTGGGAGTTCCCAGCTTCCCCAAACCACACCCCCCAACCGGGAACGCTGTGCTGCCGACCTCAGAGCTGTCTTTGACAGAGCCTCCCCAGGGCCCACCACACCCCACGGCCACAGACCCTATCCTCCAACACACCCTAAAACTGGCCGTAATGAGATAACCCCACCCCCCACTGTACCTCAGGGCCCTGTGGATGCTGGCCTGGCTTCTAGCCAGTCATGGAATTCCAAAGTCCCCAACGTGTCGGTCAGAGCCACAGCACGTGCTGGGGCACCTGGAGGCACATGGCCTCCCAGCGGGGGCCACAGGCCGTGGGACCTCTCAGGTACAGAGGCAGCGCTGGACCGCAAGCCCTCGGCCGAGCTGCTGGTGTCGGTGCGGGCCATGGAGAAAGTGGTCGTCCAGGCCGTTGTCACCATCCAGGCGTGTGCCCGAGGCTACCTGGTGCGTCGCACTTTGAAGGTATGGCATCAGTGGGCCACCACCATCCAAGCTACGTGGCGAGGCTACCGTGTGCGACGGAATTTGGCAAGGTTGCTCAGGGCCACCACCATCATCCAGGCAGCCTGGCGTGGCTACTGTGCCCGCAGGGTCCGGGCCCACCGGCTGCTGCTCCCCACCGCGTGGCCGGTGCTCCAAGGCCGAAGCTCGGGGCGCGAGGACACCAGGACCAGCTCAGAACACCGCTGCTTCCTGTCCTGCCAGCCTGACATCTGCAGCGTCTGCCAGGCCTTAGGGCCCCAGCTCCAGAGTCCACCCAGCGTGGTGATGCTGGTGGGCTCTCAGCCACGCACCTGTCACGTGTGCGGCCACACACTGTCCACACGCGTGGTGCAGGGCTTCGGCCAGGGTGTGTCAGTCCAGCCTGGTGCTCAGTGGGCCTCTGGGTCCTGGCGGAGTCCCTGGCTCAGCCAGCAGCACAGAGCAGCCTGTGCCATCCAGGCAGCCTGGAAGGGCTACAGGGCCCGCCGCCAGCTCCACCAGCAGCAGTCTGCGGCCAAGATGGTCCAGGCCACGTGGAGAGGGCACTACACTCGCAGCTGCCTCACCACCGATGCCCTCTTGGGAACAGGAAGCCCGTGGGACAGCTCCAGGGGCACTTCCCGCCATCCCTCAAGGGCCTACTCTTCGCACTGGCCTGGCGTCTAGGCCCCTGGCTTTGGGCAGAGACACCGTGATAGCCATAGGGCCCCATGAATCTTGTGAATAAAGCGTGCTACAGCCTGACTCTGGTCACGTGTCTTGAGTTAGGGGCAGGACAAGGGGAATCAGATCATGCCAGCGGCAAGGACTCTCAGTGCCTCCAGCCCTTATGGTATCTGTAGCTAGCGTTGGGGCACCCTAACTCCTTTCCAGGGGACACAGGTCACTAGCGAGGAATCCCGTGTATCACATGGCTGATGACCTGACTTCTGAAATGTCATCTGGGGCCAGTGAGATGATGAGCTGGTTCAGTGCTTGCTGCTAAGCCTGTGTGATCACTGGGACCCACGTGATGGGGAGAACGGACCCCAATTTGTCACCTGACCTCCCTGAGGGCGCACACACGTGCGAACACATACACAAGCATAAACATGTACAATACACGCACACACATCCACATATGCACATGTATAAACACGTGCACACACAACCGTACATACATACCTGGACATACATATACATGCATACGCCCCAAATATAATTAAATAAATTAAAACCTGTCATCTCAGCATGAGTGGCTGAGGCAGGAGAATATCCAGGAGTTTTCAGCCAGCCTGGGCTACACAGTGAGACTTTAGCTCAAAAATAAAGATTAGCAGCAAGCCGCGTGAGGACACCTCCTGCTGCAGGCACACCTCCTCCTGAAAAGGCGTCTCGGTGGCTGAGGCGCCCCTCCGCGTGGGTGAGGCCCTCGGAGGAGGAGCCTGGCGGCCAGAGAGACCAGGGTATTCAGCTCGGGTTTGGGGCGGCCGTAGGAGGGGATCCCCGAGCGCCTGGGCGGGGCACCGCGTGTCCCGGAGGGAGGCAGCGTTAGAAGCCTGGCGCTGCGGCCGGCGGAGGAAGGGCGGCGTGGGAACCCCGGAGCCGCGCACCCGCCACTCCCGCGGCCCGCCTGCAGGGGGCGCGCGCGGGCGAGGTCTGCACCGGGCCGCGCACCTGCAGCCAGGGCGGACCGCGGGAATGGCGCGCTCCCGGCTGCTGCGCCTGGCGCTGGCCCTGCTGCTGCTGCTGCTGGCGGGACCCAGAGACTCCTCGCTCACAGGTAGGTGGTGGGGGGCGAGCTTGTGGCTCCAGGGGACAGCGGGGGTACGGACTCAGGGCTCAGACCCTTCCCTCCCAGACAGTGGGCTTGGGACCAACCCCTAGGGCCACCTCAGCTGGGACAGAGGCCAGTGGCTGCGCTGACGCTTCAGGGGATTCTAGCGCAGCCCCGTCCCATTCAGGAAGTGGTGAGGACCCAGAAGGGCCAGGCATGGGCTGGGGGGCTCACTTTCTGTCCTTCAGACAGCTGAGCTCTTCATAGATGGCGGCCTAATTCTGAAAGTCCTTCGTTCACCCAGGAAGCACACTGCCAAGTCACCCCACTCTCTGCTTTCTTTTCTTTTTTGCTTCTTTCTTTTTCTTTTTTCTTTTGTTTTTCGAGACAGGGTTTCTCTGTGTAGCCTCGGCTGTCCTGGACTCGCTCTATAGATGGGGCTGGCCTGGAAATTATAGATTCTCCTAGTGCTGGGATTAAAGGGGTGCATAACCTCTGCCCAGCTCTACTCTCCTTCCCTTTAACTTTCCAGTAAATCGTGAGGACCTGTTGAGTAGGATTAGTGTTTGCCACAGCCCCCTTTTTGAAAACTCGTTCTATCCATTCATTTAAAACCTTAATTGACTCCAGAGTTCTGCTTTGACTTGGGTTCTGCTGTGGCACCTGAGTCAATGCCTCGTCCCCAGGAATTTTTCATAGTTTGGATTCACATTCCTAGATTCCGTGGCTGCGGGCCCCTGGAGACTGAGAGGTGGGAAGTCAGCCCAGCTCCCCCTCCCAGCACTAAATGTTATTTCCTCATATCTGCTGTGTGGGGTGAGGCTAGGAAGAAGCAGAGCAATCATCACCTCTGGGCAGAAAGGATTTGGGTGGGGCGGGGCAGTTGACAAGTGACCTTGTGCCCTGTACACCTGGCTGGAGCCACCTGGATCTGGGAAGGAAGTCATAATAGGTGGACCAGAAACTCTTTCCACAGCCTCTGAACTTCTCTGGGGGTGGGACGTGAACCAGGGAGCGGGAGGGAGGGTGTGAGTCAGAGACCGGAATCCTGGGACTGGCAGAGGTGGGGCGTGGCTCAGCGGCAGAGGGTGTGGCCAGCTTTCGGGGCAGGATTCAAGCCCTAGTCTAGGTCAGGGCTTCCCAGTTCTCAGGATTCTACAACTTCTGGGTGGGAAAAGGGTGCCTATACCCGAGGAGCAGAGTGGAGTAATGCTTCAACTTTCTGAGACTCAGTTTTTCCTTTTGTAAAGCGGAAGTCTCAGGTAGTCAGTGCTCGAGCTGTAACAGGTGGTGCTCCGGAGCCCAGATCTTCGGGAGTCAGGTGTGGTTGCCTTAGGTGCCCAAAGCACTGGCGAGCGGAGCTCAGAGTGAGCATGCTCAGCCACGGGTAAGAAAGCAAGGCCTTGGCATGCTGAGCACTGGCAGAGATGGAACCATGAGCAGCATCCTAGTCCAGGCTAAGCTCACAGGCTTCATAGACACTCCATCTTTTTTTTTTTTTTCTTTCCAGGTGTTGCTTTTACACTATTTTGGGAGAGCTTAACAGCTCAAACCAAAGTTCAGAGTTCTTAGAGTCAGCCTTGTTAGGCCTAGATCGTGAGACCTCCAGAACACGAGTCTGATGCAAACACACAAGGGCTTTATTCACACTTAAGCTTGGGCAGTCAATCGTCCCTGAGGGACCAGTTTCAAAAGAGCGGCCTCAAGTCTCAGGAGGGCAGAGTTTTTAAAGGGGGATTTTATCCTTGGCGTTACAGGGTAGAGTAAGATTGGGGGGTGGGGTCAGCAATCAAAGGAATCTTTAGGCTGATTGTTCCGAGCCACCTGGCCAAACTATAAGATATCTGTACGGTAGCCTGCTGGGTGGAGTACCTATTAACACATTCTGTGGGGGCGAAGGCCACGTGGTTTTTCTCAGAACCAGAAGGTGGGGGCCAAGTCACTCTAAGGACAATGAACTTAAGATAGCGTCTGAGAAACAAAATGTAGTTAGTCCCCAAACGGAGTTTTCTTCAATTTCTTCATTCCCCCCTTTTTTCTGGTAACCACGGAGGCCAATTTGGGCTCCTCAGAGATCTGATAGCTGAGTATTGAGTTGTTGATATCGGGATCTCAAAACTGAATAGTTTCCAATCTTTGTTTTGTATATTGTAATAGCTTCGTAAGAATGCAAGGCCCAAAGGTTAGCAATAGCAGAATGAGGAGGGTCCCGTTATGGTGGAAACCTATGCTGCTAACCAGGGGAGGCATTAAAGCATGATTGGAACCAACTTCGGGACTGTTCCTGTTCCCTTTTCTCTTTTCTAGGCCTTCTCGTTCTTTAGCCATAGGATCTTTAACTATGCCTGAGTGATCCATGTAAAAACAACATTCTTCCTTAGGGGCTGCACAAAGACCCCCCACCCCTTGCTGTAGGAGTAAGAGGTCTAATCCTCTTCTATTTAGTAATATAACTTCAGGAGTCCTGCAAGCGGGAGACGGCGGTCTCTAATCTACTGATGTCCTCATCTCTAGACTCCCTAAGCTGGCTATGGTGGCGATCCTGTAGTACAGGATCCTATTCTGGCCCCTGCAGCCCTCAGCCCCAGGATGACAGCCATCCTTAGGGGAGAGATGGGCTCCCTCTTGGCTCTGACATGTAGGTCCATCAGGGCTGAGGAGGAGTGACAGGTTAGGCAGGAGACTAGCTGCACCAAGATGCAGAACTGGCCAGGGGACTGTCCCAGCTGGCCGTGGTGCAGGGAGCCAGTCCTGTGAACAAGCCCACCAGGGATTGGCGGGAGGGATCAGAAACTTAGTCTTCTCAGAATCCAGGTTAGATTACAGAACTCTTTCCATACCTCAACATCACCTACGCACATCCCCATTCCCTGGCCTTCGAGTGATTGGAGTGTGAGTCTGGCTGAGGAGGGTTGATGCCATCTACATAGACTATGATCATCAGAGGAAATATAGGTGCCCATGATGGTGACACCATCATAATAGGGAGGGTTTGCATTGTAGTATAACCAACAGGACTGGGTTAAATCAGGCCAAGACCCGTTAATGGTATGTACCATTAAATCAGACCTAGACCTGTTAATGGTATGTATGATTAAATCAGGCCTAGACCCGTTAATGGTATGTACCATTAAATCAGGCCTAGACCCATTAATGGTATGTACCATGAGATCCCATAAGGGGTCAGTATTGGTGTCCTGAGTGGGCAAACAGTTAGGAGAAGGGGTCACGGGTTTCGCAGTGCCCTTGGCTGTAGGAGTTGGTTTAGGAGTGGCCATTGGATTTGTGGGATCCTTGGGTATAGAAGCTGGTTTGGGTACTAAGACTGGGTTTGGTCCTAATCCCTGAGGGGTGGTCAGGACTGGACTCACAGTTAGGAGAACCCTGATGATTCCTCCATCGTCGTATCCGTATTGGCACACTCAGATACCAAAGTTTTTACCTTTTTCTTGATTGTAAGGTTTTCCTAGCTCAGTGAAGGTCATCCTGAGTTGGTTACAAGGCTGCTTGTCTCCTTTGGTTGAATCATTCCTACACAATCACAGTTTGGCCAAGATCCCTCTGGATAGTTCCTGAGGCCTCCGGCTTTGGTTGAAACTCAGGGGCCCTGAGTTTCACATCTCCAACTAGCACAGAAATAGTCACCACACAGATGCCCAAATTTATGCTTCCACCAAGGAGGGCATCATAAGTTGAAGGGCACACATAGTAAGGAACTTTTCCTACCCTCTGCATTGGGGATGATTTGTAAGAGATCAAAGCTAAGCTCGGGAAACCAGGTTCCGTGGGGAACCACCTTTGAGACTCTAGTAATAACTGTTCCATAGTCAGCCTTAAGCCTGTCAGGTGTGGTTTATAGGGGTATGTGGGTTCTGGTCAGCAGCACATATGGTTAGAAGTCCTGAGAGGGCTAAGATCTGGAAAACTTGAGCTTTAAAGGGCTGCTTCCATGGTGAACTGTCCATTCTGATGCTGGAGGATTCAGACAGTCCTCTTTGGTGGAGAATGGGTTAGCTGGTCTGGTGTGGTGTAATGTATCCAGGCAGCGATCCCATCCACCTTAAGAGCAGTTGGTGTGGTCAGCAGAATGATGTAAGGTCCTTTCCATCTGGGCTCAAGTGTGCCTTGGCCAAACCTCCTCACGTAGACCCAGTCTCCTGGTCTGAACTTATATGGCTCTGGAACTGGGCCTGCTTCTCAAGGGCATGCAATTTAGACCAAACTTATTTATGAGCCCATTGGGTTGCTCTGACTCTGAATAGTAAGTCATCTAGTTTTGCAATAGCTGCCGACTGCAGGTTAGGCACAATGGGAGCTGGAACACCGTACATGATCTCAAAGGGTGAGCCCCAGCTGGTAGGGAGAATTACCCACCTGACAGAGGGCAAAGGAAGAAGCGTCACCCAGCCCCTGCCAGGCTCTAAGGTCACTTTAGTCAAGGTCTCTTTTAGCATTCTATTCATTCTCTCTACCTGTCCTGAGCTCTGGGGTCTGTAAACACGATGCCATTTCCTGTCTGCCCCAGTGAGCCTTGCTATGTCCTGACTTACCTTGGACACGAATGCTGGTCCATTATTTGACCCTATCACGGGAGGAAATCCATACCTGGGTAAGGTATCCTCCAAGAGTTTCTTGGCTACTACCTTTGCGGTCTGTCTTGGTGAGAAACGCCTCTGTCTATCCGGAGAAGGTATCCACAAGTGCTAGCAGATATTTGTAGCTGTATTTTCCTGGCTTGATTTCTGTAAAATCAATTTCCCAATAGGTCCCCAGTCTCTTTCCTCGTAGTTGAGAGCCTGGATGTTTGGGATTACCAGAGGCATTAGTTGGCAAGCTTTACAATTTGTTGAAATCTCTTCGGGGGGTACTCTGTATATTTTTGAAGGTCACTGTAGAGTGTCTGACCACGTCAGCCATCCTTCTGGTGCCCATGTGGGTGACTCTGAGAATTTTCTTCAGAATGGTCCTTGCTAAAGAGTTAGGTAATATTAGCTTACCTTTAGGCAATCACCACCAGCCCTCCAAACATTGACTCATGGACAGACTCTTGGGCCATTTAATTTCCTCTTTGGTATAGACTGGTTGTTCTGGCAGGTTGGGTTGGGTGGTTCGGAGGGCTCTAGCTGTCTGATCATCCAAATTATTTTCTTTGGATACTGAGGAGGTTCCTTTCTGATACCCTGTGTAGTGGGTGATAGCCAAGCTCTTAGGTAACCAGAGTGCTTGGAGCGGTTGCAGAATCTCCTCTTTATTCTTGACGGTTTTTCCCTCAGCAGTGAGCAGGCCTCGTTCTTGGTAAATGGCACCATGTACATGGGAACGAATCCCTCTGTTTCAGCAGTCACCGCTGCTCCGGCTTTTCTCTGGCCCTCATGGATCAGACTGCTTCCGTCTATATACGAAGTGTGATCGGCCCGGTGAGGGGAGCATCCGTCAGGCCTGGCCTGGTGCTATGCACTTCGGCCAATATCTCAGTGCAGTCATGTAGAGGGGGTCCAGGTCTGGGTCCGGTAGGAGGGTCACTGGATTCAGGGAAGTCGGCGGCTGGAAACTGATCCTGCTGGGGCTGATCAGCAGGGTCTGGAATGGGTCATCCTGGCATGACTGAGCCATCATGGAGTCATTTTAGCACTCCTTCACTGGCATGTGGGGTGGTAACAATTAGGTGTTGCCCCAGGGTGCGCTTATCTACATCCTTGACCCGTAAGGCGGTGGCTTCGAGGAAGCACAGGCGAGGGGCAGCTGCTACCGGTGCCAACGTTCTGGGTAGGTATGCTGTGGGCATTCCCAAGGCCCCGGCGTTGGCGTCAGAACTCCCTTGGCAATCCCTTTGTGCTCATCCATGAACAGGTGAGAGGGCTTAGTGATATCCGGCAACCCCCAGGCTGGTGCCCACAGCAGGGCCTGCTTCAACTTTTCAAAAGCCCGTTGCTGTACCGAGGTTCAGTGAGAGCTCGCAGTCTCTTTTGTGACTTCATAAAGGTGCTTAGCTATTTCTGCAAAGTCTGCAAAATCCAGAGCCTGTAAAATCCCGCCGACCCTAGGAACTCTTTTACCTGGCGGCGCCTGCTTGGGACTGGAATGCTGAGGACAGACTCTTTCTTGGCCTTGGAGGGCCAGCGCTGTACCCCTTCCAGGATGGAGCCGAGGCAGGTCACCTCAGTTCTGCAGAGTTGCACCTTTTTGGCTGAGGCCCGGTACCCTAGGTCTCCCAGGACTTGTAGGAACCTCTGGTCTCTTCCAGACAGCTCACTTGGCCCTTGGCTGCCACCAAGAGGTCATCTACATACTGGAGAAGGATAACATCTGGGTTGTTAGCCTGGTACTCACCCAAGTCCTCATGCAGGGCCTCGTCGAAGATGGTGGGAGAGTTCTTAAATCCTTGGGGTAGGCGTGTCCAAGTCAGCTGTCCGTTGATGCCTGCCTCTGGGTCATGCCATTCAAAAGCAAAGTATTCCTGGTGTTTGGGTGGCAGGGGGAGGCTGAAGAAGGCATCTAGGATGGTAGATCAGTCTCTTCCGGTCAGTATGCCGTGGCAGAGCATACCTGCTATCCATGTAGCATTGACTGCCAAATCCTTTCCCAAAATTAAGGCCTTGGTCAAGGCTTTCAACTCAGCTTTCTGTGCAGAGGTTCCTGCGGGGGAGACTGGGAACGAATCCCTCTGTTTCAGCAGTCACCGCTGCTCCGGCTTTTCTCTGGCCCTCATGGATCAGACTGCTTCCGTCTATATACGAAGTGTGATCGGCCCGGTGAGGGGAGCATCCGTCAGGCCTGGCCTGGTGCTATGCACTTCGGCCAATATCTCAGTGCAGTCATGTAGAGGGGGGTCCAGGTAGGGAACTCAGCAAATGTATGGGTACAGAGGGGTGAATGTCCGTCACCTGCCGGTTGACAGCTCTCAAGTCTTGGATCGGCAGATAGTCATTTGAGTTAGGCTTTTTAACAGGCAACAGGGGAGTATTCCAGGCAGACTGGCAAGGCCTGAGAATCCCAAGGTTGAGTAATTTACAGATGTGAGGAGTTATTCCTCTCCTTGCCTCCAGGGACATTGGGTACTGATGTACCCAGGCAGGATCTGCCCCTGCCTTGAGTTCCTCAAACACTGGTGGCCAGTGTATGGCCAGTCCCATTCCCCCTGTTCCGGCCCAAGCCTGAAGAAATTCCCACAACCAAAGGTCCAGATTTTCCTTATGAGCAAGGGGTTGCTCATACAATTTGTATTCAGATTTGGAGGCCGAGTTGACCATAAAGACTTGGATAGGCCTTCCTTTATCATCTAGTAGCTGGGCTCCTTCCAGACCAAAATGTATCTGGGCCCTCCTTTAGGTTAATAGATCCCTCCCCCAAAGCGGGTAAGGGCATCTGGGATGAGCATGAATGAATGGGTCACCTCCCCACTCCCCAAGTCCACAGATCTTCGGGTAGTTCATGAGTATTGTTTGGCACCTGTGACCCCTTGGACCCAAGATTTCTTTGAGGTGAGGCACCCATCAGCCTTTTGGAGTACTGAACATTGAGCTCCTGTGTCCAGCAGAAAGTCAAGAGTTTCCCCTCACCTTAAGAGTTACCCTGGTGAGGGGGTCTGCACCCCACCCCTTCAGTCATCATCTTCTCCAGCAAACAGGACTGTGGGCATTTCCTTGCCCAATGGCCCTCTCCTTTACAGTGTGCACATTGATTCTTGCCTAATGATGTTGATGACATTTGGCGTCTTCCCTCTGGGCTCCTTCTGTCAGCAAGTTGTTGGAGTTGCCGCTTTCTTTGAGCTCGGCTCTCGTAGCCAGGAGCATTCTGCCTCTTCCCTGCCTTAATCTGCTTCTCCTCTGTGCTATCTCCATTATTGTAAACCTTCTCTACCAACTCAACTAGATCCCTCAGTGACTTTTCTCCTAATCTTTCTAGTTTCTGTAACTCTTCTTAATATCTGGTACTGACCGGTTAATGAAGGCCAGGGCCACTGATGATTTCTAGTCAGAGTGCTCAGGATCATAAGGAGGCTAGCGTCTGTAAGCCTCCATGACCCTCTCTAAGAATGCCGGTGGACTTTCATTAGGCTCCTGCCAAATTAGTGGGCCGTATGGTGGCTGCTTTGAGACCTGCCAGCAGAGCCTGGCAGTAAACCTGGAGACGCTCCTTACCCGCACCTGTGTTGTAATCCTAGTCGGAATGAGTAAGGGGAAAGGCTGCATCTATTATGGCTGGATTCTGAGTGGGATCGCCCGGATCCCCCAGAACATTTTTCTGGGCCTCCAAGAGGATGCATTCCCTCTCTTCTGTAGTGAAAAGAACCCACAAAAGCTGTGGACAATCATCCCAAGTGGGTTGGTGAGCGAACAAGACAGTTTCTAAAAGGCTAATAAGGTGTTTCCAGCTTTTGGAGAAAGGAGCGTTCCTGTTGAAGAAGAACTCTTAGCAGGAGAAGAGAGAAAAGGCTTAAGCCAAGGAAGTGGGTTAATAACAGTCAGGTCCTTCTGACCAATATAAGGGACCTAATCAGGATGTCCATGTGCTTTCTGAAGTACTTTGTCCTCTATTGCTAATGAGGTCAAAAGATGGAAGGTTCCTTTCGACATCCATCTGACATTAAGAGTTGGCCGCTCTGAGCTGCAGTATGTGGTCATCCTTCCTCTCCTTGCATCTACTGAAAGGTTCTGAGCCCTAACTTCGCTGAAATGGACCCAGGCGAGCTCAAGGGGGTGAGGCGTGGTCTGTCCCATAGCGTCTGTCACAGTCCAATACAAAGACTCATAAACACAAGCAACAAAACAGAAAGACAAACAGGAACAAAGTAGCCTTCTAAGAACACAGAGAGGAGACTGTTCAGTGGGACTCTTCATCCACCAAAAGTCTCTCCAATTGGTGGGTGGTCTCTCAGCCACCCCAGAGACAAGGCGGGTGGGCTCTCCTCAACCCCTCCAACCTCGTCCACCAAAACCAGACGGTGGGCTCCCCTTCACCACCCCAGGGCCAAGGACGCCTCCTTGACCTCCACAGCTGTGATTCTTCCATGCACCCACTCTTAGCCATGTCTTGCCATTTGTACAGATACCTTGAGGCTTTCCAGAACTGAAAGTAAGCACAAAACACAGAAACACTTACCGGCACAAAACACAACACTGACAGAGACACTTACCAGCTGGTACAAGACCCTCAGGTCGAGATTCTGGAGGGCTGGGGATCTCGGTGGGACCTCCAAATGCTATGCCTAGATTGCGAGGCCTCCCACCCTGAGAGGCCAGCAGAAACACGAGGCCAATACAAACACACGAGGGCTTTATTCATGCTTAAGCTCGGGCCATCAATCATCCCTGAGGCAGCAGGTTAGGAAGATTGGCCTCGAGTCTCAGGAGGGCAGGGTTTTTAAAGGGAAAACCTGCAAGCGGGGAATTCCAAGCCTTGGTGCTACAGGTAGGGTAAGATTGGGGGGTGGGGTTCAGCAATCGAGGTGACCTTTGGGCTGATTGTTCCGAGCCACCTGGCCAAACCACAAGGTATCTGTACGGTAGCCTGCTGGATGGAGGACCCATTAACATATTCTGTGGGGTTGAGGGCCACGTGGCTTTTCTTGGAACCTGAAGGTGGGGGCCAAGTCACTCTAAGGACAATGAACTTAAGATAGAGTCTGAGAGTTAGCCCTGTTATCTTCAACTCCTTCAGCCACTGACAAAAACTCAAGTTCAGAGCCAGCCTCAAGCTCCACCACCTCAAGTCCAGAGCCAACCTCTGGCTTCACCAACTCAAGTCCAGAGCCAACCTCTGCCTCCACCACTTCAAGTCCAGAGCCAGCCTCTGGCTCCACCACC